TCAGTTTCGTGTAGTTTTGCATGTCCGATTCATGATTATGATTGAGAGTTTATATCATTTACTGATATATATTGATCTCTATGCTTTTTTCTTTGATTAATAAATCTACAAGTTTGGTCTATTAAGGTTTGATTCTATAGGTTGTAGATTTGACTTGGAACAGTCACTAAGTCAATTCTTTGTCGTGTAATATTATTAATGTTCCTCTGTTTTATAAAACTGATTTGATTTGTTAAACCCGTGTTTTAGAATCGAGGGAAGAAGATGCTGTCAGGGTTGAAAAGGAACTTGGATTGGATACTGATGAGCGCATAGAGATCACTGATTCAAGCCGTGACCATGACAAGAACGCTAGCAGTAGCAGTAGTAGCAGCAGCAGCAGTTCCGATGATGAATCCAGTGAAGTTAAGAAGATAGATGATGATAAGGAGACTGGTGAATCTGTTTCTGAAGTTGTTAATGTGAGTTCTGTGCCAAATCAACCTATTCCAATAGCTGGAGATGCTCCTTTTATGGGGACAACTGCTAATGTGATTGTAGAGAGTGTTGGTTTGATGGATTCAACTACTCCTAGTGATGCAAACACTGAAAAAATGATAGAAATCAAGCCTGCTGATACAATGATCCCAACCAAGAATGATGAGAGTTCTTTGCCTAAACCAAACGAGGGAGAAACTTCGACTCCTCTAGAACCCAACAATGTTCCTCAAGGCAGCAAGGAGTCTGAAGCGACTATTTCTCATGAGGAAGAGGTGATCCTCCCTTATTGTTAACCTATTGATTTGTTTCACATTTTTTGTTATCAAGAAAGAAAAGACTAAGTTCAATATTCTCTCAGGCTACCGTGCTACCAACACATGGAGTTGCGCAAAGAACCTCATGGTTAAGTTGTTGTGGCTTATTTGATGTGGTCACAGGATCCAGTAGATAAATTCCGGTAACTCCTAAAATTTCTTAAAAAATTTTTATTCTTTCCTCCTTTGTTTGATGCATAGTCTATCTGTTAGTTTCACGAACTTCCTCAAGTCTACATACGAGATTATTAGTTCATGGATATGCAAAAATCTTCACACCGAACAATTGTATACCTTATGAAACATCTCTTTGAGTAACATAATAGCATAATAGAATTGTAGATTGAGAAAGAGAATTATCATTAGTTCTGACAAACCATACTCTTCGACTTGTTGATGAGTTTCTTGACACTCTTGTCTCGATCGCAGAAACAGAGTTTCCTTCATGAACTCAGAAGTGATATCACAGCTAAGGATCCTCAGTTACCTGTGAAAACTCATGTCTCTCTTCCATTGAAGAACACAAAACACACATTTGTCTAAAATGCAAGAGTACTCAGCTTCTAGTAGTCTTCAAAGCAGGCTTTTCTGTAGTTTCTGTTCTTTATATAAGTCCTTAACTTCCGATATGTACGATTCCTTGTCTGTTGTCGTTTTTGTTCTCTCAGGTTCTGAGACTTGTTGTTGGCCAATTTATGTATGATTATTTCTCTAGAAACGAGCGAATAATATATATTTATTTAACAACAGGGTTTCAGAAACTATATTGCTTGATTTCTATAAAGCAATACTAGATTCTAGAAAAACACAAATGGTCCAAGAACACTAAAAGTTCAGAATGATTGAATCGTCTTAGTTCTTATATCTGCTCCTATAATTAATGCCTCTACCTGGGACAGAGACTTCCACAGTCATAGCAAACTGAAACGGTTCATTAATCCGCAGAGACCGATCTGGAAACCATTGCTTCAATATCTCTGCTAGCCGCAGCTCTACCTTCATCAAAACTTTGATAAATTTCATCAAGATCCTCAGAAATTTCACCTCTTCTAAAAGCTGCTAGCTTCCGCTCTATCTTCATCAGCACTCTTTGGCAGTTTCCAAACTGATAGTCAAAATAAGAAAGCTTGAGTCTTTCACATACCACAGACAATCTGTGCCAAGACAATGCATTACATAGGAAAGTGACATCTCTTACCCAAAAAAAAAAGAAGAAGTAAACAACAACCGGTTCGGTATAACTGGTACTCTTACCGGTTCAGTTAAATTGGTTCGTTGACCGGTTAAGTTGAAATAATAAAATTAAAAACTTTGCGTTGACCAATCCTCCTTAAGCCATTTTTGGTGGAGACATGACCTCTGTGTTTCCCCGTTGTTTGGTCTCTTCTTCGGCGTCTATCTCTCTTCCCAACCGTCCTCCTCTCAGGTTAGCTCCGTTCGGTCTTTTTATTTTCAGTCTCTCTTTTAAATTGAATTTCTAAAGGTTTCTTGATTGTGCAAAAAAAGGTACGCAGTGCTTGGTGCTGGTTTTGCTGGAATCTCTGTTGCGTGGCACCTTCTTAAGGTAGTGTTGGTCCAAAGTTAACATCTTTTTGGCTAATAACTAAAATTCATATGTAAACAAATGCTTCATTTTGCAGGACTGTCCAAAGGAGTTGAGTTTAAGTGTTGATGTATATGATGAAGTTGGAATAGGAGGTGGTGCTTCTGGAGTTTCTGGAGGCCTCCTCCACCCTTATTCTCCTAAAGGTAGTTGAAAGATTATCCCTTTTTATGGTTCATCTATAAAGTTTGGTAACTGATTCTTCCTGAAGAGTAAGTTTGATTCTACTGTTTTTAAAAAAAATAAATTTAAGTTTTATAGACTCCTTTTAACTATTTTTTTGTTTGCTTAGGCAAGCTACTTTGGCATGGTGCTGAGTGTTGGAGAGAATGTTTAGAGCTCTTAAATGTTGCTGAGACAGCGGCAGCTTCTTCTTCTGCTGTGGAGAAGGGAGACTGTAACCATAGTTTTGGAAATTTTATGGTTCGAAGAAGGTAAACTCGCAGTAATTTATCTTTCTTTCTCTTTTAAAGATGTGTAATCAAAACTGGAGACTTCTGATTATTCTTGCTGCAGGGGAATCTTAAGACCAGCAACAAATGCCAAGACTTTGAGTTTAATGACTGATGTAAGCTCTCTTTCACTCACTTACACCCACCCATTTTTATTTAACTAAACCCATTAGTTTAACTGTGTTTTCGTCTTACTTATGCTATTAGAATGCTCGGAACTGCCTTGCCGGTTGTGTAGTAGAGACCATTGACAAAGATGTGGCCCAAAACCTTGTCCCGAATCTAGGCTTGCCCTTGAACTGTGCCTTCTATCTCCCAGGAGCTATGAATGTTAATCCGCAGCGCTATCTCCAGGTTTGGACAGACATATCATATACTCTTCATGAGTTTATCTTTACTGAGTTTTTGTAGGCACTCTTTAAAGCATGCCAAAACTCAGCGATGGAATCACTTGGAAGGACAAACATAACTTTGGTTAAGAAGTCTATAGATGATGTGCTTGAACTTGAAGGTGAATGATTTTTCTCAGATTCCTATGCTCTTACTAATTGAAACAATATTCTTATATTTTTAGCCGTTAACAATCCAAGAGTAAAGTATCTATGTTTTAGTCCTTGCACACATAGTCAGAAATTTAGTATAGCTTCGTGTTGTATCTGCAGGAGAATATGATGCTGTTGTAATATGTCTTGGATCCAAGGTAAACTTTCTTCCTGGGCTCACTGGAAAGCTCCCTTTAAGGACATGCCGTGGTGTGATTACTCATTTGCAGTTACACGACAGTGTCAGGTATGAGGTAACTCTTCTCTGTGCACAATAACTTTATGCATGTTCTTTCAGTTCTGAAATATTTTTATACTGCAGGGAAAGTTACCCGGAAGGTGGACCTTCGATCTTGTCAGATGCATGGCTCGCGGTTCAGGGACCACGTGACATACACATGGGATCCACATGGGAATGGCAATCAAGAAACTATTCACCGGATGTCTCAGCTGAGGAAGTTTCAAAAGCTCTCGCCGAGCTTCTTCCAAAGGCGAGTGCAGTTTATCCAGACATAGACAAGTGGGAGTTTGCAGGAGCAAGGGCGGGTTTAAGAGCAATGCCACCTGTTACAAGCCATGGGTCACTGCCGCTCTTGGGATGTGTAGACCAGCTCCTAGGTGCTGCAGAAGGTGGATCTTGCAAGTTCTGGGTGTTTGGAGGGCTTGGATCAAGGGGACTACTCTATCATGGTTGGCTGGGAAAACTTATTGCTAAAGCTGTTTTATGTTGCAATGAAGAAGTAATACCTTCTGAACTCACTTCTTGGAAGATAAATAGAGTGAAAAGTTGAATTTTATATATGATTTAGTGTAAGAAGAGTACTCAAACAGAGGAGATCCATATGCTCAAGGAACATGACATGGATGGTGAGAAAAGATAAAACCATTGAGCCTAGCTACTCAAACAAGTCTGACATGATCAATAGTTGAAACAAGTTCAGAATCATCGTCTTTCTAATGGTGTCATGAAATCCTGAGCGTGTATAGCTAAGCTGAGAAGTTGCAACAATTCAGATTCTAACAATTCACTTCACTTTGAAGCTATAACAAAGCTGGAGAAAGTTGAGGAGTCATCTTGCAGGAGAACTTGTGGGTTTCCTTGTTCAACAAGGATTCCGCGATCAAGAACTAGGATACTGTCCAAATCAAGAACTGTTGAAATGCGGTGGGCAATGGTAATGACGGTCACGCCTTTGCACTCACTCGAGATAGCGTTGTGTAGTAAGGACGCTGTGTGAACATCGATGTTAGCTGTGCATTCATCAAGACATAAGATCTTAGATGACTTGAGTAGAGCACGTGCAAGGCAAAGAAGCTGTCTCTGGCCAACAGAGAAAGAATCCTTTAGATTTGTATCTAGCCCTCCTGCACTCTCTACCTCTGACTTGACTTTACACTTCTCTAAAACCTCCCAGATTCTCCAGTCTTCACTCATCCCAAGAGGATCAAGGTTCTCCCTACAAGAAACCATAACTTTTGTTAAGGATGGAACTGAAACTAAGATCTTGATTGTTAAGCTCACCTCAATGATCCTTGAAACAGAAAAGGGCTTTGAGGAACAACAGCGAGTCGAGTACGAAGCTCTCTTACAGGAAGATGGTTTATGTTAACTCCATCCACCATTATCTCCCCACTACAAACAGGGTTAAGCCTGAGAAGAGCATTCAATATGGATGATTTTCCAGCACCAGTTCTTCCTATTACTCCAACCTGATAACACAAAGTTTTTCATGACACAACAAAACTCGAGTCTGTTTACAGACAGCTCTGCAGTAGACAAGTACGTACCTGCATGCCTCCTTGGATTGTAAAAGAAATGTGGTTGAGTGCAGGAGGCAGAGTTGAGTTGTACCTCATTGTCACATTATGAAACTTAACCAATCCTTGCACTGGCCACTTACCGCTGAGAGATTGCTGACCAGAAACTTCTTCTTGAGGCACATCCATGTACTATTCCACACAGGAGAAAATGGTTCATGTATTTTTAGCAATGTTCTAAAAATCGGTTTAGGTGGGGCAAATCGTGTCTAAAAGATTTTTTAGAAGGTTTTAACCATTCAAAAATGGGTTTAAGCATCTGCTTAAACAAGAATCCTCTATAAAGCGCCTAACCCTGCTTAGAGATTTCTAAACATTGACTATTTGTAACAATAACAAGTAGTCATTAATCAATCAAAATGATTACCTGAAGAACCCTTTCAACAGAAACCATTTCCTTCTCTGTTTCAGTAAAACTTGTTAAGAAACTTCCTAACAAAGACACCAGTGGAGCTGCATATGAGAGAGCCAATCCCACCTGTGGATCCAATAATATTATCATATACTTTCAGATCGCCATAAAAACTTTGAAAATTGAAGTTTCTCACCAGTCCAGGTGTACCAAAACTGATTGGAAAGTTTCCCTGGGAACCTATAACAGCCATTACAGCCACAAATAAGACAATCACTGCTCCTAAGAGCTGCACCATTTTAAAAACATAACATGAATACAATGATCTTAAACTCAAAACAGAAATCTAGACAAACAGATGTGTTAGTGTACCTGAAGACGCAAGGAGAGCCACAAGCTTGCAATTATCTCTGAGTAAGAAGTCCTCTGGTATAATGTCAGGTGCTGGATAAATCTAGCTACGAAATGCTCCTGTCACACATATTCAAAACGATTGGAAAAATGACTTAATCATAAGAACAGCAACTCCTCTAGAAGAAGAACCAAAACTACCTCTGAGCTAAAAGCCCTTATAGTTGATGATCCATCAAGTGTCTCAGTGAAAGAAGCATAGATTGGTGATCTTGAGACACTGTCCAACCTTCGTAGTTCCCTTGATGTTGACCTGTAGAAGAACTGAAACGCTAACCAGTTAGAAAAAGGAGCTATCAACTCTTCTCTTTTTTATTACCAAATATGAAGTAAAAGTACCTGAAGCTTGCTGTATATATACCAAAATGGCAGAAGCAGAAGCAGGAATAGAACCTGTATACATATAATATACTAATGTTAACAACTCCATTCCAACAAGAGAGAATAATATCACTTTGAGTTTGTGAAGAAACCTGAACATAAGACAATACTAGAACAATCCCTAACAGGCCAACAAAATTTGCTAGAAGAATGTTGAGGATGAAGGGGAGAGAGTCATCGATTGTATATAAATCAGAGGAGAACCTGAAGAGATGAAACATAGGAAACGAGGTTAAGATAAAGAACGGTATTATATATACACAATCCAAAGAGTTTTTTCTTGTCACTAACCTGTTGAGTATCCTTCCACTTGGTGTCTGATCAAAGAACTGTATAGGTGCATTTATAAGCTTACAGATTAATGCATTATGAACACGTACTGCTGCTTTTAGTCCTCCATATGCAAACGAGAATGCTCTCACCAAGGTTAGTATTGAGTTAATAATGCAAAAGATACAGAGAACCATCTGCAATATAAATAGTAATTTCATCTCAATAAACGCAGAGAAACATAGTTATAAATCTCATGTTTTTTTGTTGTTGTCAGTACCAGATAAAACGAGGTTGAGTAATGTGTGACTCCTGTTCCAGTCTTATCAACCCAATATGATAGCCACAAATCATTCCCATTACGGGA